CCACAAGACAGCCCCAGCGAGGCCCAAGAGGGCCCCAACACGCTCAAGAGCGCCCCAACAGCGCCCGATATGGCTTGAAGATGGCCGAAGAGGGCCCCAAGAGGGTCTTCAAGAGGCAAACACCGGCCCATTCCCATTCGTAAAGCATGCGTTTTCGGCATATTCGTTTGCTTGGTCCTCACAGTGCCTCAGACGCCCCCGAGCCCCAAGACAACCCAAGAGAGACCCAAGAGGACCCACGACGGCCCAAACGGGTCGTCCTGTGAGGCTCACGGAACCTTCCAAAGAGGGCCCAAGAGGCCCCAAAGCCGGCCCAGGAGGCCCCCAACACGGCCTCAGGAAGGCCCAAGTGGGCCTCGTTCGAAATCATGTTCCCAGAAGCCTCTCCGGGAATATGATTTCTGGGTTTCTAGGACGCCCAAGAGGGCCCCAGGACGGCCCCAAAAGGATTTTAAATGGACGTTCCAAAAAGGCCTGGATGGCCACAGTTCGTTGATTTGCGTGAGATGTTGTTGGATTTCTTCCGCGCGGAGGAGACGGAGAGGGCGAAGGAGGAGGAGGAGGAGGAGGAGGAGGAGGAAGAGGAGAAGGAGGGGGAGGCAGGGAGGAGGAGTGGAGGGGAGAAAGGGGGGGAGAGAGGAGGAGGCTCGAGGGCGATCGACGATCGGCGACGACGACCGGCGACGGTGATTGACGACGACGACGACGATGACGACGACGATGATGACGACGACGACGACGACGACGACGACCATCGACGACGGTCGACGACCGACGACGACGACGATCGACGACGATGACAATGGTCGACGGCGCCGATCGACGATCGACGGCGACGACGACGGCCACGCCGACGGCGGCGACGCTGCCCGCGTGACAGCCCAAGAGGCACACAAGACAGCCTCATCGAGGCCCCAGAGGGGCCCAAGACGTCCAAGAACGCCTCAAGAGGGCCCGAGATGGCTTGAAGATGGCCGAAAAGGGCCCCAAGAGGGCCTTCAAAAGGCAACATTTTACCCATCCCTCGTGTAAAACGTACAATTTCAGAATACTCGCTTGCTTCGTCCTCAGAGTGGCCCCCGAGGAGCCCCAAAACAGCCCAAAACGGCACCAAAGGCCCCAACGCCGGCCCAGGAGGCCCCCAAGACGGCCTCAGGGAGGCCCAAGAGGGCCTCGTTCGAAATCATGTTCCCAGAATTTTCTCCGGGAGCATGATTTCCGGGTTCCCAGGACGCCCAAGAGGGCCCCAGGACGGCCCCCAAAAGGCTTAAAATGACATTCGAAAATTCCCAGAGGGACACAGTTCGTTGATTTGCGCGAAATGTTGTTGGATTTCTTCCACGCGGAGGAGACGGAGAGGGCGAAGGAGGAGGAGGAGGAGGAGGAGGAGGAGGAGGAGGAGGAGGAGGAGGAGGAGGGGGAGGAGGAAAGGAGGAAAGGACGAGGCGGGGAGGAGGAGTGGAGGGGAGGAGGGGTGGAGAGAGGAGGAGGAGGCTCGAGGGCGATCGACGATCGGAGACGACGACCAGCGACGGTGATTCACGACGACGACGACGACCACGACGACGACCGATGACGATCGACGACGATGACAACAGTCGACGCCGCCGATCGATGATCGACGGCGACGACGACGACGGCCACGCCGACGGCGGCGACGCTGTCCGACAGCCTCAGCGAGGCCCAAGAGGGCCCCAAGACGTCCAAGAGCGCCTCAAGAGGGCCCGAGATGGTTTGAAGCTGGCCGAAGAGGGCCTTCAAGAGGCAAAAATCGGCCCATTCCCGTTGTACAACGTACGTTTTCAGCATACTTGCTTGCTTGGTCCTCACAGTGCCCCAGACGCCCCCGAGCCCCAAGACAGCCCAAGAGAGACCCAAGAGGGCCCAAGACGGCCCAAAAGGGTCGTCCTGTGAGGCTCACGGAACCCCCAAGACGGCCCAAGAGGCCCCAAAGTTGGCCCAGGAGGCTCCCAACACGGCCTCAGGGAGGCCCAAGAGGGCCTCGTTCGAAATCATATTCCCAGAAGCCTCTCCGGGAACATGATTTCCTGGTTCCCAGGACGCCCAAGAGGGCCCTAAGACGGCCCCAAAAGGCCTAAATGGACGTTCAAAAAGGCCCGGAGGGCCATAGTTCGTTGATTTGCGCGAGATGTTGTTGGATTTCTTCCGCGCGGAGGAGACGGAGAGGGCGAAGGAGGAGGAGGAGGAGGAGGAGGAAGAGGAGAAGGAGGAGGAGGCGGGGAGGAGGAGTGGAGGGGAGGAGGGGGGGAGAGAGGAGGAGGCTCGAGGGCGATCGACGATCGGCGACGACGACCGGCGACGGTTATTGACGACGACGACGACGACGACGACGGTCGACGACCGACGACGACGACGATAGAAGACGATGACAACAGTCGACGTCGCCGATCGACGAACGACGGCGACGACGACGACGGCCGCGCCGACGGCGGCGACGCTGTCCGCGTGCGCAGAGCCACCCTGGACCCAGTCTTTTCTGCATCGTTCGAAATCCTGTCCCCGGAAGCGTCTCTGGGAACATGATTTCAGGAGGAAGAGGAAGAGGAGGCATATTAGGAGGAGGAGGAGGAGGAGGAGGAGGAGGAGGAGGAGGAGGAGGAGGAGGAGAGGAGGAGGAGTGGGCGGGAGGGCTCGGGGCCGATCGACGATCGGCGACGGTGATTGACGATGTCGACGACGGTCGTCGACGGCGACGACCGACGACGACGACGACGATGGACGACGACGACAACAGTTGACGCCGCCGATCGGCGAACGGCGACGACGACGACGACGTCTTCACAATGCCACCCCGAGGAGCCCCAAGACGGCCCAAGAGGGGCCCAAGATGACCCATGATAGCTACAAGCCAGCCCGGGAGAGCCCCAAAAGGCACCGAACAGAGCCACAACGGGGGCGAGCAGAGCTGCCTATAGAGATTGTCGGGAGGCCTCTTCCGCAGCGTCCGAAATCATGTTCCCCGAAGCCTCTATCGGAACATGATTTCGGGGTTCCCAGGACGCCCAAGGGGGCCCTAAGTCGGCCCCGACAAGTCCTAAAAGGACGCTCGAAAAAAAAAACCGGAGGGACACAGTTCGTTGATTCCCGCGACACGTTGTTGGATTTCTTGCACGCGGAAGCGGTGGAGGAGGAGGAGGAGGATGAGGAAAGGAGGAAGAGGATATGGAGGAGGAGGAGGAGGAAGAGGGGGGCGAGGGGGGGAGGAGAGGGGTGGAGAGAGAAGGGGGGCGGGGGGAGGAGGAGGGAAGAGGGATGTGATGATGATGCTGATGGATGATAATGCTGATGATGATGATGCTGATGATGATGGCGATGATGATGATGATGATGATGATGATGGGGGGGAGGAGGAGGAGGAGGAGAGGAGGAGGAGGCGGATGAGGAGGAGGAGGAGGAGAAAGGAGGAGGAAGGAGGAGGAGGAGGAGGAGGAAAAGGACGAGGGGGGGGAGGAGAAATACGAGGAGGAGGAGGAGGAGGAGGAGGAGGAGGAGGAGGAGGGGGATGGGGGGGGGGGGGGGGGGCGGAGGAGGAGGAGCAGGAGGAGGTGGGGAGGACGTGGAGGAAGAGGAGACAAGGAGGAGGAAGAGCAAGAGGGAGGCCTCCCCCGAGTGTTCCCTTTATCCGATGTGGCCCAATGCTTGCGCGGCGTCGCAGTGCCGTTTGGCGAGCCATGTAGTCTGAACAGGAGGAGGAGGAGAAGGAGCAGGAGAAGGAGGAGTGAGAGGAGGAGGAGGAGGAGGAGGAGGAGGAGGAGGAGGAGGATGGGGAGGAAGAGGAGGAGGAGGAAGGAGAGGAGAGGAGGAGGAGGAGGAGGAGTAACATGATGAATGATGATGATGGTGATGGTGATGGTGATGGTGATGGTGATGGTGATGGTGATGATGATGATGATGATTGAGGAGGAGGAGGAGGAGGAGGGGAGGAGGAGGAGGAGGAGGAGAGGAGGAGGAGGAGGAGGAGGAGGAGGAGGAGGAGGAGGCGGAGGAGGAGGAGGAGGAGGAGGAGGAGGAGGAGGGGGAGGAGGAGGAGGAGGAGGAGGAGGAGGAGGAGGAGGAGGAGGAGGAGGCGGAGGAGAGGAGGAGGAGGAGGAGGAGGAGGAGGAGGAGGAGGCGGAGGCGGAGGCGGAGGCGGAGGCGGAGGCGGAGGCGGAGGAGAGAGGAGGAGGAGGAGGAGGAGGAGGAGGAGGAGAGGAGGAGGAGGGGAGGGGGAGGGGGAGGGGGAGGGGAGGAGGAGGAGGAGGAGGAGGAGGAGAGGAGGAGGCGTGGAGAGGAGGAGGAGGAGGAGGAGGAGGAGGAGGAGGAGAGGAGGAGGAGGAAAGTAGGAGGAGAAGGAGGGGGAGGGGAGGAGGAGGAGGAAGAAGATGCGGATGAGGAGGAGGGAAAGGAGGAGGAGGGGGGGAAAGGGGGTGGAGGAGGAGGAAGGGGGGAAAGGAGGGGACGATGGGGGGAGGAGGAAGAGCAGGAGGAAAGGGGGAAGAGCAGGGGGAAAGAGGAGGACGAGGAAGAGGTGTCGTTTTCGGCCGCCTCGGGCCGCCTGGGGGCGAAGAGCGCCCAAAAGCTTTTCGAACCACGACCGCGAAACTCGACGAATGACCGAAGTGCATTCAGCCGTCAACCCCCTCGTCCGTTGTTTGGCCGTTGCCCCGGGCGAAGCTAGAACCTAAGCGCGCGCGTAGCGCGCGCGTGGTTCTAGTTACACCATTTTCGAGCATGGGTGAAATATGTTTTAGTTTTCCTCTAGAATCCGCCTGTAGGAGGACGTGCCCGACGTAAGACTACTCCGGATTCCGTAATAAAGTCGGGGGGGTCACATTTGGGGGGGGGGTCTGATTTGAGCTGTCTTGGAGGGTTTGGGGGGGTCTGGGAAAAGGGCCGCCCTTTCATGGATGGTCTGGGAGGGTCTAAAACTTCTCGTCTGGGAGGGTTGTGACCCCCTCCCTTTTATTACGAAATTTGGAGTAACCTTCCCGGGGCTGCAGGCGCACTGTCCGCCATCACCGACGCCGCGGGGCTGGACTCGGCCACCGTGCAGAAGCTGACGGCCTTCGCGCAGCAGCAGGCGAGCGCGGAGGACGCCGCGTGCGGGCTGCCGCGGCCTGACCTTCGCGCGGCCCCGCACGCTCGGCCTCTCGAGGGTCGCCGCCTCGGACGTCACTCATCGTTTCGGTCGACATTGACGTCGGCCTGCCCGATTCGACTCGATTCCGATATTCACCGCCCGCCAAGCCACCCCAGCCCAACCCGAAGGCCCCGATTTGCCCTCCATTTCCAGTGAGGGGGGGTCGGGGAACATATGGGGGAAACAACGGGGTCTTCGGGTTAGGTTGGGGTCTTCGGGTCGGGGTCTTCGGGTTAGGTTGGGGTGGTCTGGTAGGTAGTCAGATATCCGTTGTCGTCGCCGTCGCCGTCGCCGTACCAGAGCCCCTTGTGTCGTGGGACGGTTTTCGGCTACACTCGGACCGAGGTGTAAGATCGAGGTCGTTTCGGGGAGGGTACCTGGAGGTTGGATGTTCTTGTGCATCCTGGGGAGGGTACCCTTGGATGTTCCGTGTGTTGTGGCCAAGGTACGACTAGTTTTGGCATCAGGAGGCCCTCACTGGGCCCCAGGACCGTCAACGAAAACTACTCGGGATGAGATGCCGGTCCCGGGGAAAGGGTCGAGACTTCTGGGGGTCGACGTTGTAAACGAAATCATGAGGTCGGGGTCTCGGGTCCTGGTTCTCGTAATTAGTCCGCACCGTTTTCCATCCGTCTCCTTCCCCCCCTCTCCCTGCTTGACCGTCCGCTCCTGGAGGCCTCCAGCGGCGCCCAAAAGGGACCACAAACGTACCTGGAACCTCGAACCTCGAGCATCCTCGATGCTCGAGCCTCGATTCTCGATCCTCCATTTGCACGGTCCCCTTCGAGGCGCCAAATGATTCGCGCTTCGCGGTTTGACTCCGACTCCTCGTCGTCCTCTTTTCTCCCCTGGCGGGGGGGGGCGCGAGAGCGCGCAGGCATTCGCGCTTCGAGCAGCGCGAAGCGCGAAGTTAGGCGCCTTGACAGACGTTATCTGGGACCTCGAAGCCCGAGGCCTCCTCGATGCTCGACCCTCGATGCTGGACCCTCCATGTTTTCTTTGGCCCGCAAGCCGCATCGCCCCGCAACGGTGTGCAGGACGAGGACAGCGGCGCGCCCGACCCGGCCGGCTCCTCAGCGGCGGGGGGTGGCCTCGCCGTCGCGCGCCGGCGCGTGGGGAGGGGGGCCTTCCTCAGGGGCAGCGTCGCGTCAGGGGGCCCTCCCTCCCTAGTCCCTCGTCTCGTCGGCGAGCGAGGGGGGGGAGTGAGAAGGAGACGGCCTTCGCAGAGGGCGGCGGGACTTCTCAGACGCCCCTGCGTATTCTGAGAAGTTTTAGGCCTCGGGAACGTCGGGTAAGGCTTAGGAAACTTCTCAGAAAGCCAGGGGACTTCCGAACCTTCTGAAAAGGTCCGCCCCTTCTCACTTTTCCCTGGGCTCGCCGCCGACTCGTGCTTTTCTCTCCTCTACAATTACTCAATATGAATACTATTCTCCCTCTTCCCCCGATGGCGGCCTGAAAGTATCCGACCCCCCCCCCGCGTCCTGCTTTTTCACACAGGATTCCCGGGAGTTGGTTTTTCGCTTGCATTTTTTTCAAAACGCTGCTCTCGCCGAGGCGCCGGCCTCATTTTCGGGCCCCGCTCGTTCCGAATCGTGCTCCCGCTGCAGCGCTGGCCTCATTTCCGTGCTTCCACTCGTTCCGAACCGTGCTCCCGCTGCAGCGCTGGCCTCATTTCCGCGCTTCCGCCCGTTTCGACTCGTGCTCTCGCTGCAGCGCTGGCGTCGTTTCCCGTGCCATGCCACAGCTCACGCGCACACACGCGCACACACACCACCACCACCACCACCACCACCACCACAACCACCACCAGCACCACCACCACCACCACCACCAGCACCACCACAACCACCACCACCACCACCACAACCACGCACACACGCACGCACGCACGCACGCGCACCACCACCCACTGGTCCGCGGATAGAGAAAATCAGCGCCATGGTAAGGGATGGGAGGGAGGGGTAGGACGTCAGATATGACGCGCGCGCACCTAGCTTGCCTCCCTCCCCTCCCCTTCCTCCTCCTCTCCTCTCCCCCTTGACGAAGCTGCAAGGCATATTTTTCGCTTTGCCAATTCTCGCGCAATGTCTTTGCCTGCGCGCTGGATGGCAAATGGCCGTTCGTTAGTTCCTCCCAAGACCCCCCCCCATGTCAGGAAGCAATCTCGACGGATGGTTTTTCAGTAGTTTCAGCCTCTTGGGGCCCTTACTTGGCCTCGGGATTGTCAGAAAACACCCTGGATAAGAATCCGGATCCCAGGGAATGGGTCGAGACCTCTGGGGGTCGAGGAGGAAGAGGAGGAGGAATGTGTAAGAATCATCACGTTGGGGGCCTTGCTCAGGGGCAGCGTCAGCTCAGGGGGGTTTTCCACATGTTCCCGGATCTCTCCACAGCGTGGGCCTCCAGAGATTGGGGCCCTCTCCCCCAGGGACCAGATGTTCGAAGAGGGGATCGACTGCAGAATTGGTTTACCCCAGAGTTCATTGTCTTGTCGAATGCACGGACAGAGGCGTAGGATGCTCGCAGACCATCCCACGTCATTCTCGTGGTTTCGACGAGAAATCAATGCTGGAGTACAGTCGGGGCCCTGAAGAAGGAACCCTTTTCGTTGGGGAGGGGCTCCGTGTTCCTTAAGTGTTCACAGCTCGCCTGAGGCTTTCCTAATGTTTCCGACAGTAAATCGAAGGTCAACTTATGGAAAAAAGGGGCCTCGTTCCTTAGGGTTCCCTAGGTCAACGCCCCGACTGTAAGCAATTCTGTAGTCCATCCCCATATTCGAGATGTTCGTGTCGAGTCGCTTTGTTGACGGCCCTGGGGCTTGGCGAGGGCCCCAGAAGCCGCAAGTTGCCAAGTGCTGCGGGCGTTCCGAAACGCTCCCAGCGCGATGCGGAACTCAGTATCGGTTCACCGATCCCCAGCTCCATTCCCATCCCTCAGAGCCCCGAATCATCAGGGGTAACTCGGGTCAAGGCTAACTCGGGTTCGCTTTTCGGAAATCCGAACCCGAGTTGCCCCGGGCCCGAGTTACCCCGGATGATTCGGGCGTCCAAAGCCCCAAATCATCAGGGGTTACTTGGGTCAGGGCTAACTCGGGTTCCTTTTTCGGGAATCCAAACCCGAGTTTCCCCGGACCTGAGTTACCCCGGATAACTCGGGCGCCCAAAATCCCCGTCCAGACCGCCACCATCTCATCCCCCCACTTGGGGATATACCTTTCGAAATCTGGCAGAAACTGCCTACATCCCCATCTAGGGGGGTAAACCGGCCAGTGGGGCCCAGGCCACGCGAGTGGGGAGAGGGGTCGGTTAAGCGATGCTCAGGAACACTCTGAGAAGGCTGCAGTGCCTGAGGCATCCTCCAGAGCCGCCAGCTCTCAGAGACTCTCGATGCATCACCCGATTCTAGCTTCGTTCTGGCTTCGTCCTATACGCAGACCAGTCTCGCCCGCAAGTGCCTCCCGCCGTGGCCTGCCCCACAGCGCCGAGGAGGCGCGGGCCTCCTCGGCGCTCGCCCCCGAGGCTCGGCGGAACGGGCGCGCTGAGTGGCCCGTGCGTTCGCGGGGCGCTCCCTTGGCGGCCGCGGCGCGTGTGCTCAGTCGTGGGGCCCGCGCCGAGGGGGTGCATTCGGGCCGGGCGAAAAGGGGGGATTGGGAAAGGGGGGGGTACGAAATCTGCTGCATGTAGCTGGTTTCGGCCTCACCGCGGGGCCCATTCCTCGATACACAGCCGCCTCCAGCGCCAGGAGGCGCCGAGAAAATCATCCACGTGAGCTGATTCTCAAACCCCCACTTTGCTATCCCCCCCTTTCGCCCGACCCGATACATGGGGGGGGACGGGGGAGTGCGCCTTGGAAAAGAACCCCTGCCTCTTGGACGGCGCGTCCCGTGTCCATGGCGTGGCCAGCGCCTTTGAGGAGCGGCCTCCTTCTGTAGGGGAACAAGAAATAACATAAACAGAACAACTCGGAGGTCGGCGCGGATTTCGCGGATCGGCGCTGGACCCCGCTCCCTGGCGCGCGGAGCGCGCCAGGGGCGGCGCCGGAGGCGCCGCCGGGGGGCCTCAGCGCCGATCCGAGAAATCCGAGCGGACCTCCGAGTTTTTATGTTTATGCCACTTTTTGTCTCCCTCAGCCACGCGCAGAGGGGGGTGAGGGGAGGGGGGAGGGCTTCTTAGAAGCACCCCTGCCTCTTAGAAGGCGCGGGCCTCATCTACAGATGTGAGGCCGGCGCCTTCTAAGAAGCGGCCTCCTTCTAAGGAACCCTCCCCCCTCCCTACCCCTTGTGCGCGCCGCCAATCCCCTCGTTCTCCTCCCCCCTCATCCTCCTTTTCCTCCTCCTCCTTTTCCTCCTCCTCCTACTTCCTCCTCCTCCTCCTCCTTCTCCTCTGGCGCTGTGTGCAGTACGTCTGGAAGCCGCCCAGGCAGAGGCCCCCAACTCGAGGCACAGCAAGTGACGCATGGGCTGTCGCTGCGGGCTGGGCTCGCCATCTTCGTCGGGTGCACGCGTGCTTGGGTACTAGGATCCTGGAGCTGCAGAATCAGGCTGAGCGGAGTGCCGATGATCTGCTCAAGCTGGCCATCCTCCTCAATGACACGGAGGCCTTCTTCGACCGTCTGCTGAGGAAGGAGTGGGTGCTCAGAGCTGTTGACCCCACCGTGCGCCAGTTCTTCGAGCAGCGCATGCAGGCGTTGACGGACGCCCATTTCGATGACATGGTGGATTGGGTCATCGAGCAGGCCGGCTGCAGAGTTAGGTTCTTCGCCAGTGAACGCCATAAGAGTTGGACGGATTGGGTGAGTGCCAGCTTTGTCAATGGAGCAAGCATGGCCCATCGTTTCACGAAGGCCAAGGCGCTGCAGGAAGCGGTCTCAGTCAGGTCAGGCGAGCAGCCCTACCAGCTGGCGGACGATTGCCTCGATGACTGGGCCAACTTGTGAAAGACTCATGGATGTGAGCGCATGGCGCGTCCCCCAGGAGCTGACCAGTGGCCTCTCCTTCCGGAGATCGGTGTCGCTGAGGTTCGAATTGCTGTTCAGAGCTTCCCCGAACGCACTGCCATCGGGCCTTCGCGCCTGGCGCCTCGTAGCCTTTTGCATCTGAGCGATGCGGCTATGCAGACGCTCGCTTTGATTTTTATGCGGTGCGAGCTATGCTGCATGTGGCCGTCGGCGAGGATTTCGACGGAGCTTGTGCGGCTGCCCAAGCCAGACAAGCCAGGCGAGCACCGTCGCATTGCCTTGTTGCATACGTTTCTCAGGGTGTGGGGGAGGGTTCGTCGGTCGGTCTCGGTCGAGTGGGAGGGGAAGAATCGGAATGATCTACTCTGGGGCTCACGCCCTGGGCGCAGCAGTGTGGACTGCGCCTTCTCTCACAATTTGGAGGCCGAGGTGTTCCGTCATACTGGCCAGCACTGTGTCTCTGTCTTGTTGGACATGATCAAATGCTACGAGATTATCCTCCTCTCGGCTGTGATGGCCGAGGCTGCTGCTGTCGGGTACCCGTTGCGTTTAGCGTGGATGTTGGTGTGCGTGTATCAGCAGCCTCGGCGCATCAAGGGCTTTGGGTTCGGTCAGTAAGGCCTTTGCCTCCTTCCACGGGATTCTGGCCGGCTGCTGCCATGCGACGACCCTTATGCAGGTGATTCTCTTGCGGCCGCTCCAGCGAATTCGCCGGGAGTTTCAAAATGTCGAGGGCTGTTCAATTCATTTGTGCGCGTCCTGAGGCTCAGGACTGGGATCCTCCTCCGCCCAAGCCGGTGCCGGTGAGGCGCGAAAAGTTCGTCCTTATCGCCCATGACCCCGTCCCCCTGGCTCTTGGCCCGTCCGCATTGCAATGCAGACTTTGTTTGGCCGTGGCTCGGTCCCCGGCCAGTGTCAAGACGCTTTTGAAGCCATGGGGCCACATGTGACCCGTCGCCTATCCTCCAGGCGCTCGCCCTAGCTGCTGAGCAGCTCGGGTTGCGTAGCCAAAGGGACGGGGAGGCTGCGGGGGGTGCTGCTGCTGCTGCCGACGGGGCGGTGGGGAGGGGAATCTTCTTCGAATGTGATGGCCACAAGGTCCAGCGTT